GAGGTCAGTCAAATTTATCGATCCTATTTTGAGATAGGGCAGAGAAAATAACAGATAAACTATAAAGTTTTACTGAAAAAAAACGTTTAAAATGCATTTAGGAGATTTTAGGGATTACACACAAAGAAAGTTTGAAATTTTTGAGATGAGGAAAAGTATTTTTAGTTTTAACATGAAAATTAAGTTTGCACACGGACTATTCAAAACAAATACTCGATATATTCATGAACAAATCTTTATTTTATTTTATTAAAAATACTTCACTAAAAAATATGATTTTTAGAATGTGAAAGACTTATAATATGAACTAAAAGACTGCCAAATTTTGTGAAAATATACATACTATATTGAAAGTTAGAAGTATTAAATCTATAAAGGCTTTAATCGAGTACAAAGAGGCCACGTGGTTGGTGAAATTGACAGAGCCTGTGTTGAGAGAGTTAAACATTTAATACAATAAAATTTCTTAAACAAGTCTACATAATGTGCATGAGAGTCATGGGACCACTACTTTCCCAGGAAATGAGATTTATGATGCTGCAGTAGTTTATAGATCAAATATCTAACTCGGAATCAGACCAGCCATCCACAAACAGCCAAGGCACCCAAAAAGAGCAGTCAGCAACTCCAACAAAACAAGCTACACTAACAACTTCCTCTCAGAAGACACCAGGACACCAATATATCTACCACTAATAGGATCACCTAATTCAAGATCGGGCAGATAACTCCACTCATCAGGATAACACTGAAAGACCCCATCAAGGCTGACTACCTTATGAAAGAAGGTTTTGTCTTATGGTTCCAGAGACACCAAGTGGAAGAAGCAAAGAATACACCAGAAATCCTATAATGAAATGCTACAATTGTCAGAAGTTTGGGCATACACGACACATTTGTACAGTCTCTCTCACAATGTTCAATGCAGAGGACTCTATCCAGTAACCAGTTGTCAAAATAAAATGAAGGAACTTGTTGCACCAAATGTGGAGAATGGAATGAGAGGATGCCCCAAATTCGTTCACGTAATCAACCAACAAAAATCCAAAGTCCTGCAGTTTCCAACCGTAAGAAACAATCAACTACAGTCACAAGCACAGCAGACTACTCAACCTTCATGAAACAAGGACCAGCCCAACAGGCTATGATTCTATATTGGCACAGTTCACCCCCAACAACAAGCAGACCTGAATCCTCAGAAAAACCACAACTTTAGTAGGATCATCAAGAGACTAGCAGTTTTCATGACAGATACCATTCTCTCCACCCTTGCAAACAGAATCACTACAAGTGATGAACTCATCTTTGAAGTCAGCTGCTCTGCATTCTACTAATTTAACATCAAGAATGTCAACTTCTTAATGTTCAGAGATTTTGTTATGAGAAGACTGAACCAATAACTATTATTCAGGGGGACTTGTACTATAAGAAGTATGAACTTTGCAATCTGTGTAACAGCCACAAAATTGACCTAACAGCAATTAACGAAACATTATCAAATGACAATAACAATTTCTCCCTGCCCAGAAGTTCCAAATAAGTGAAGTATAGCTCTTCTCTACAAACCACAACTAAAAATAACATCCCCTGGTAACAATTATTTCTCACAAAATGAATATATACTGTACCAACTTTACCCTGCTTCCCACAACTTCCCTAGTAGTTTCATATGTATCTCTGTCAACAACCAATGATGTGAGTCTCATACAAAGCATAATCAATCAAAACCCAGGAATTATCATATTAGATGACCTAAATTCAAAACATAAGGATTGTCAGCGCAGATGTAGTAACTGCAATGGCAACATCTTAAGCACATTCATAACAAACAATAACCTGGTTATAAGTTAATGAGAATACCCCTACATATACACACACACACTACAAAGGAACACAAGATGTTAGACTTAGTGTTAATCTCCCCAACACTATTACCGTACATTTCAGAATTCCAAGTTCATGTTAACACTGGTGAAGATCATATCCTTATCTCTTTCTCATTACTTCACAGCACTAACTTACAACCATCAACCTTGCCTAAATTTCATATTTTTTTAGAACCAAATACAGCTTAGTTACTATGCTTTTTAAATTATAGTGGAATTCTATGGTAACGATATAGTAATTTATGATTTTTTGGTTAATTAAAATGTATATATAAAACCTAAAAAAAAATTCTTTTAACATCCTCCACATGGGAAATTTCATAAGGCTTCGCAACCTATGACAAGTAGCAAATGAGTACAAAGTTCATAACTAGAAGAGATAATTGTTTGCTTTACTTTATTTACTGTTCTAAATTTTAAGAAAAATAAGTTTAAGAGCTTATTTGTAAATAGAAATAATGTATAATAGTTGAAATGTGACTGTATTTTACAAAATACTAGTCCACTAAATCACAGCCAAGACAGGTTACTTTGTAAAGACTATTGGATACGGTTACACAAGTGCCATGTCATTGTAACTTCTGTATTGTTAGCCAGGCATAGTTAGAAGGTCAATATAATAAATATATATATAAATGTAGTTAGACTAAAAATTTATTTTCGTGTTTCCCTCTATAATTTATCAAGCATAGTAACTAAGATGTATTTTAGTCTAAAAAATATGAAATTTCGAGCAGTCTAAAGAAACACCCTACCTCCTTGAAATATTGGTTCAAAAGAAAGAAATAGCATCCAAGCCCGTTAAAATGGCTGAGAAAGCCACTAGGGGGACACTCTGAGCTTCTGATTGGTTATTCATGTCATATATAGACGTAAGTGTATATAAGAAAGCA